GAATACTGAAAGGAAATAAACAAGTGGATTTAAGATTAGCGGGGAGTAGGGATAGTCATGCAACTTGGATATCCACGAAGCTAACAGATCATATAATCTAAAAGTTCCTATTCTAGATGTTTGGGAGAATGGTTGAAATAGTTTCATAGATGATTGTGGTTGATCCAGTTACATACTCTGAACATATTTTTGACACCGCCTCGGTAAAATATTGACTAATAAAAATGGCTAATGACTTTGATTTCGGTAGTTCATATTCAAGGAGCTGAAAACATCAAGATTAATTCCCTAGGGAAAAGATGGGAGGCACAATCACTTAGATAAAATATTAAGAAATCACGCAACCAAGTAACTACTGAGCATACTAAATTGATGAATTTAGTAATTCTTCTCCTATTGAAACTCTTGAGATTCTTAATTAATAAGAGAAGCTTCCTAATCCTTTCTCATGTACCCTGTCTGATGAGAGATACATGTGTATCCAAGCTTCAAAGTCAACACTACAAAGAAATTTAAGCTGGATATTTTTATAGATATTACTGTATAATTATCTCACAAAGTCTTTCTCTTCAATCCAAATTTGCGTTACGTTGCCAACTCAGACGCACAACAATAGATGCCTCAAGTAACAATGTTCCTAGCATCAATAGACCCCTCCTCCTCAAGGATAGCTCCCAGAATTTTTAGAAACATAGACAAAAATACTCTCCAAGAAAGTTTTCGTAAACCACACTAAATCAACTTTTGAGATTTCACTTTAAACATAGTTATTACTTATTAGCGCACCCAAACAAGAATATATAGTGTAGCACGCAACAAAAATATGGTGTCCCAAAACTAATGTTGCTTGCCTATTATAAAGATACTACACAAGTTCCAAATTTAAAAGTTCCATCTTCTATATTAGGTTGTCCTGAAATTGTGTCCACTTTCATAAAAGGGAAAATGATGATCCACACTCTTCAATTCTTTTTAATATCCTATTATTATCAAAAAGAGAATTTGTACCCTTTTTAAAATTTAATTTTATAAAGAAAGCTAGCTTTTATTCCAATTTTAATCTATGGACACCACTATTTTTTTCACAAGTGTTACCTCATACCTAAGCTTGAAACTTTTATTTATGAGTTTAAGATCTATGCACTAAAGGTGTAAGACTTTTTTTATACAATAAGGTCGCTTAAAAGATAAATACAGGTAACTCGATTTAATAGCATTGATTGTTAACCTAGAAAAATAGTAAGTAACCTGCTATAACATGTGTAAAAAGATCATTACACTGTCGGTTAGTACTCATCCCTAAGCTCGAATCACTTTTATTTATTTATTTATAACTAACTAAAAACTGACGACGCGTTAGCCAATATTCCAATAGCTAGGTATTGTGGACATCATATAGGAAATAAAAGCTCGTATCTCAATCACAATTCAGTTCCCATCAACTATATGAATCCTCTATATCCATAAGCGGATTCCTCGTCATTTGAATATTTTAAGCTGACTGTTATCACACCATTTACTTTAACACGTAGCTGAATTAACTTAAGCCTGGTGTACCATATCGGTAAGTTTTTACCTGCACCTAGCGTTTACACCAAATAAATCAATTTAACCTTAGCAATTAAAATAAAAGTGAGAATATACATCACTTAAGCACGATGACATTAAGAAAGACACGTGTTACGAATTCATTGGTTTAACATAAACACTGGATGCCTACACATCAAAATTGATGAAATTTTTTAAAGGCTAACCTCCATGAATTAACTTAGTGGACCTTGAAGAAGTGCCAGAAGAAAAATCATCTCGTTCGACAAGGCCAACACGGAGCCCACGCGTTGCAGCATCAAGTGCGACACCGCAGCCGGTGGCACCGCCGCCAACAACAAGTATGTCGAGAGGATTAGACAAGCTGGAGCCGATCAGAGCCGCTTCCTGAGTGGCTCGAGACGGAACGACGGCGAAAGGATCAGCAATTTTCCGGCGGAAGGTGTCAAGCGGGGAGGACCTGTCGCCGGGGTCGTTTGATGAGAATGAAGGATTCCGTACAATTGTGTATGCTCCGCCGGCTACGACGGCGATAGCGCCGAGACGACGGAGGCGAATGGAGGTGGCCATACGGTGGTGTAGAGGTGACGAGTATGGAGTGACCCGAAGATGGAGCTGAGATTTTGAAGATTGAATTGTTTTGCATTTTTTCCATTTAAAAGGTTGCATTGGGAATCTAAAAATGGAATGTGTACCCTCTCAAATGACCAGAATACCCTTTTAGTAAAGTTTTTATTTTGCTTTTTCTTTTCTTAGTAGGCGTTTGGACATAAGAATTGTAAATTCCAGAAAAAGTTAAGAAAAATTTCAAATGAAAATGGTATTTGAAAATTAGATTTGTATCTGGACATAAATATAATTTTGGGTTATTTTAAATTTTTATGAGTGATATGAGTGGAAATTTTGAAAAACAGCTTTTTGGAGTTTTTCAAATTTTAAAAAATTCCAAAATTCATCTTCAAATGAAAATTGAAAATTTTATGGCCAAACACTGATTTCTAAAAAAAAAAATTTAATTTCTTATGTTTAAGGGGAAAGAAATAATGAGAATCGAACTCACATCTATGAGTTTTAAAGCTTTGATGTTTTTATGTATGCAGCGATAATTATAGCAAACTTAAGAATAATAAATAGCCCACCTAGAAGGATAAGTCAAAAGAATTAATGAAATTTCATATTTTTATATACTTTTAAGTAATAGAATTCTCTTAAGAGAAACTAAATGCTAATAGGACAATATATTGAATAATATTTTCATATTTTGCATGTACTTATGACGTCACTCCGTTTAATAAAATAATGTACTTCTAACTCCTATTCTAGGTTTATATATATTGGTCAATACAAATCTTATTTGTCGTGCATATTGAACTTCTTAACATGTGAAAAATCAACTGTAAATTTAATTTGCAATTTCTCTCATGAAAAATCAGTTGTAAATATTCTTTGCAGTTTAACTTTGAAGTTTGAGTTGAACACTTAGGGGCCTGTTTGGCCATATTTGTTTTTTCGGAATCCGTGTTTAGCCATGAAAATCTTAAATTTTACTTGAAATTGAATTTTGAATTTTTTTTATAATTTGAAAAACTCCAAAAGCTATTTTTCAAAATTTTCACTTCAAATCACTCATAAAAATTCAAAAACAGCTCCAAGTTGTATTCATGTCCAAATACACCTCTAATTTTCAAATATCATTTTCACTAAAAATTTACTTTTTTCTAGAATTTACAATTCTTATGTCCAAACGCCCACTTAAAGTTGATTGTCTCTTAATATCTAAATCATTTTAATTATCTTCTTTCAAAATCTAGCTTTTATTGCTATGTTAAAGTTTTTTATAAAAGAAGTAGCAAAAATTCACAACGATGGACCAATTTTGTCATTATGTAGTGGAATAAGGACATAAAAGTAATTAAGTTAGTGGGTCAACACTTTCCACGGCTGCCGCGCAGAAGAAGCATGGGCTCGTGACACGCCCACCCACCTTTTATTAGCGCTAACAAACATATTGCTAACTGTTCCCCAAATTCTTCTACTTTTGAATTTTCAACCTCGTAGTTTGAATTAATGCCTTTCCGCCCCCAACTCAAGTTTCTTGTGATCCTATTCAATTCATTGATTCAACAAAATTACTTGTTTCAATTTGCTTCAAATTACTTCTTCCATTTTTGCTTTTATGGTGGATGGATTTCCTTTCAAGTAGATGTAAGTAGTAACCATGACTGTAATTCTTTATGCTGATTTTGCGATGATTTTTCTTAAAATCGTGGTGTCCGAGTTAGTTTGTGCGCATCACGACTAATTCCACGGGATGCCTCCGCTGGGATTTGAACTTGAGACTTCATGATTCTTTATGCTGATTTTTGATGTTTTTTATAAATGTGGTGTCCGAGTCCGCTTGTGCGCACCTCGACTAATTCCACGGGAAGTCTATCACCTAGTATTTTTGTCTCTGCTAGAATTTGAACCTAAGACCTCATAGTTTTTTATGCTGATTTTCGATGATTTTCTTTTGATAACCATGGTGTCTGAATCAGCTTGTGCGCACCTCGACTAATTCCACGAGATGCCTATCACCTAGTATTTTTGCCTCCGCTAGAATTTGAATATGAAATCTGATGGTTCTCAACCCACTTTATTGACCACTAAACCACACCCTTGGGTGCACAATTATGGGGATGATGAACAAAGATTATCAAAAAGATTAACCCAACTGAGTTGGTTTAGAGAAGATCAAGGGTTGAATTTCAACCAAAAGTCAATTTGACAATATTTATACAGTACAAAATTGAGTTTTGACTTCAGTGCTGTGTAGCAAATGAAACAAAAATAATCTTGTTACTTTTAAGTTATAGTGATAAAGTTCAGTGATTATACTGTTATAATGCACAAGATTCAGTTATATTAACAGGACAAAAAAGTTTTGTAACTTCATTGTTATAATATATTAAAATACATAATAATATAAAAATTCTTTACACTGCCGGTCTAATGATTTTTTTTTACACTACCAGTGCATTTTGACATGTAATAACAAGTTATTAACTGCATTTTATGTTAACAGATTAATATGCTATATACAACTTACATGTTGTTGTAAGTAATCTTAACTAAAAAATTGTTCCACCAGTGCACAGAAGTTAAACTAAAAAAAATACAAGGATTGGAGCCGGTTACCGAGTGTCAAAGCTTCTTTTCTAAGGGCAGCCCATTGCACTAAGTTCTCGCTATGCGCGGGGTCCGGAGAAGGGCTAGACCACAAGGGTCTATGGTACGCAGCCTTACCCTGCATTTCTGCAAGAGGCCGTTTTCACGGCTTGAACCCGTGACCGCCTGGTCACATGGCAGCAAGTTTACCAGTTACGCCAAGGCTCCATTCTCAAAGCTTCTTTTCTGATTCCAATAATCCTTGGCAACCTTAAATGAGAGAAGTGTGTAACACTTGTAATGGATTGAACACTAACAACAGCATACTTTCTCTTCATTTGTCATATTCAAAAGTGGAAATCACAGTGCTTACTTAATCAAACACTATAAAGAAAGTATAAACAACAAGATTTTACATCTATAAACACCAATTTAAAAAACAACTCATTGCCCCTGGATCAAGCTGTCAAAAAGAAGATGAAAACATACATATAGAGGTACAGTTCTATATCTTTGTACATACGTAGACGTGGTCGTGTAATTACTGGATCGTGTGACTTCAGTTCTCAGGTTGAATTTAGTTTTTCACTGCTCAATCTAGGTGTCATGAATCAACTGCATCAACTCGTTGGAGAAGTTCCAAAACACTTCCGGCTTTTCTTTTGGCTCTATCAGTGCCATTCTCGGACAGTTCCTTCAGTACCTCTTCTACTCCAAGATCCCTAGCTACCTTTAAGTTCTGTACATCACCTGTACATAGAGACCACAAAACAGCTGCAGCATTTTCTCGGTTCCGAGGAGAACCTGTCCTAATTACCTCAACTAAGATGGGGATTGGCTCAGCTTGACCAATAGCGGCCTTACCCTCCTGATGACTTGCAAGTATTGCCAATATTGCCAGTGCTTCATCCATCATTCCACCCCCAGGATCCTTGAGCAATCTCATTAGCGGTGGCACAATCCCTGCCCGTACTGCCCTCACCTTGTTTCCTTGATAGATTGAGAGGTTGAATATAGCAGTGGCTGCATCCTTCTTTCCCCTTGGAGTTCCCTGACAAAGCAAATCAATAAGCGCTGGGATAGCACCGGCGGCTCCTATTGCCACTTTGTTTTCGTCAACCACTGATAAACTGAAAAGGGTAGCGGCTGCATTTTCCCTAGCTTCCATGCTTCCATTTCTTAGTACATCTACTATATCAGGTATAGCACCAGCATTTACAATAGTTCCCTTGTTAGATTCATTTATGGATAGGTTAAGGAGTGCCGTGACAGCGTGCTCCTGAGTACGAGAATCTGACGATGAAAGCAGTTCAACAAGCAGAGGAATTGCTCCAGCTTCAGCAATGCAGACTCTGTTATCAGCATTTCTTTTGGCCAGCAAACGGAGCTCACCAGCAGCTGCTCTTTGCTGTTCCGGATTACCATTGGCAAGTTTTTGTAACAACGCATCAATAGCAGCACGATCACAGTCCGAACCACCAGCTCCAGACCTTTTGTTCCTACAATTTCCTTGGTTTTTAGGCAGCTCAACACCATTGTTCTCACACCACAAGGCAATCAGGCTCTTCAAAACATAGTTTGGAGTCAATGCGGTGTGCAACAATGTCTGCTGAGTCTTAGGACATGTCTTGTGTCCTGCATCCAGCCATTTCTGGATGCAAGACCTTTCATAGGTCTGCACGTGAAAGAAAAGCAGACAGCAGTTAATCTAAGCAAGTAATAAGAGGAGCAATTAATTTAGTCCTATAATTCGTCAAGGTAAAATGAACCATTAAGAAAATAAAGGCACTAAACCTGTCCGGTAGATACAATAACAGGATCTTTCATCAACTCAAGTGATATTGGACAACGAAAATCATCTGGAATGACCGGAGATCTGTGCTTAATCATACTCTTGTCACCCTCAAGGACATCCATCTCAGGATTCCCCGTCATTGCGCAGTCCTTTAGCTTTCTAAGGAGGAATGCAATCGTTTCAAAGCACTCTTCGGGAACTCCACCACTAGAAATGACCATGTCATGGATGGCAAGTGACTCCTTCTTTAGATCATTTACGGTCCTGAGATGCAGCTTCTCTGACAGCCGTTTAAAAATCATGGAGTCGGGATCTTGTTCCCTTTCTGCCATAGCTAAATCAATTACCAACTGCACATCTGGTGATTCCATCTTTCCTTTTGCTCTTTTAAACTGAGCATGCACAAGTTCAATCTGGAAGAAGCCAAAAATTGTAAAGATTTTCAGTAAAACAGAATGGACATCGGCCATAACTATTAAAGGATGACCAGATGAAGTACTTGTTCTCGGACTTCCTCAGATATATCAAGCTTATTGTAAGGAATGTGGCTTAGTGCATCTTCGATTTGCTCTGTTACATTTAGAAACCTTAGTGATATGGTGTCCATCTGCAGAGCCTGCAATATACAAAGCACAGGTGACGTTTAGGAAATATGAAGCAAGAGACAATGTCTTTCATGATAATACGTAGCAGAAAGACACAACGAGCTTTGATTATACTGCACAAAAGTCATCCTCGATGCAGAGTGTAAAACTACAGCAGAGAGCAACTACATAAGATTCATTTGACTCCTGAATTATGGAAGTACAGATTGGATACATATCTATACTAAAAACTGCTTGGTGCAACATTCGACATCTCAAGAGAACCACGACTAATTGAATTAAATTAGGTTTACGCAGATGAAACTTTACCAAGGCAGGCATAGATCATTGATTTGAATCTCTGTCAACAAAAATATTTCCTCGTACTCAGGCAAAGGGAAAAAAATAGACCAACTCGTGAGGAGGTGTGTCAAAGACCAAAATAAATAATGGAAGTGTTTCCTACCACTTTAATCTTTTACATTTTCACACAATTCAACAACAACTAACCATTGTCAGCTGAGAAAATTCAAGTATCAGATGTGCTAAATCCTAATAAAATGAATCTTCCCTATGAGAGATCCTAGGAACAGTTTGTTCTATTTAAAGCTCATAGAATGTAGTACTCTACAAAAGCTTCAACTTACAAGGAAAGATCCAAAGTTTCAAGCCACGGCTGTCATGATGAATCTACCAAAAGAAAGATGGAAACACAACTATATGAAGACAAGAAGTAGCCCAAAACAAACTATGTAATTGTTTAGAGGTCCAAAAAAAAACTATATGTGAAGTAATTCTTATATATGATTCAACTTTGTCCTGGTTGACAAATATGTAGGACAGTTACCAACCAAACTAAGCTAAATTTCACCACAGAGAGAACAAGGAAAAAAGTTGAATATCACATTGATCTTTCCAGCAGCCACACTATCAGCAAAACATAGTAATTCAAAACATTGATTGTTCCTATATTTACATGCAAAATTGATTACTTCAAATACTTTCACATTTACCAAACAAAGCAAAATTGGCATAGATCATATAACATTTAAAGATTAAGTTAGAAAACAATACCTGAAAAATCTTACTGCCTTCATTGACAGATTTGAGAAGCTCCAAAGCAGAATTAAGAGCAATTCTCAACAACTCAAGCCCATGAACCACATCATCTCCAACCTCAACAACATCACTATCTTTCAATTCCTCAACTAAAGGGCTCAAAAGCTTCACCCTTCTCACCAAATTACTGTACATCCTCTTAGAAACATTCTTGCACTCCGGCAAACCCGAAACGGTGTCGATTAACTCCGTCAGCTCATTGATTAAGGCATCTTTCTCATGATCCATGTGTGCACCTCCAACAAACCCCTTATAGAAAATGGATTCTTTAATCAAATTGGGAAAACCCCGGTTGGAAAAATTGAGTCTTTAATAAAATTGAGCAAAACCCCAGTTGGAAAAATTGAATCTTTGATCAAATTGGGAGAACCCCAGCTGGAAAAATTGAATCTTTAATCAAATAGAGCAAAACCCCAGTTGGAAAAATTGAATCTTTGATCAAATTGGGAGAACCCCAGCTGGAAAAAAATGAATCTTTAATCAAATTGGGAAAACCCCACTTGGAAAAATGGTCTTTAATCAAATTGGGAAAACTCCAGTTTGAAAAATGGAATCTTTAATCAAATTGGGAGAGACCCAGTTGGAAAAAGAGCCATAATATGGCAAATCTTTTCTGAGTTGGTGGTTGGTTGTTGAGTTGACTGGGAAAATTACTACTGATCTTCACCAATTTTTTTAGGGAAAATTTTGAGAGAAGCCATGAGGTTTTGGGTTCTTGAGATAATTTTAAGAAGAGCCAGCTCAAAGAATTGATTGAATTTCAAGAATCAAGAGAGAAATTCAAAGCTCTGTGTGAACATACAAAGGAAACTGAGCAGGTGAAGCAAAAGATGAAATGAACTATTGATTGGTGGAGTTTCCATTTAATCATTTTAAAGGAGTTATTATTAATACTATATTTATTTGGGTAGATTTGACAGATATAATCTTGATTTTGAAACTAATAATGAGAGTAATAGTACAACTAAGGGGTTTGTAATGAAAATTAGTGCTCCCTTGGTCCATAATAAATGACCTTTTTATTTGGTCCAAAATAAGTATTTTTTTACATTATCATACGACATTAACTTTATTTTTCAAAAACTTGCCCTTGTTTACATATTCCTAGGTGTCAAATTAACAATATACAAATTTTAATTAATGATAATTTAGTCAAAATACCTTTTTTCTCTATGACTTAGTATTTTCTTAAAGAATATACCAAAGGTCAAAAAGTCACTTATTATGGACCGAAGAAAATAAAATACAGTGGATTAGTGTAATGTGTGAATTGGCAATTTAAAAAGTGAGGGAGAGGAGGGAAAATACAGGTATGGTCAATCTCAACATAACGTAAATTTGTATTAGCTGTTCTTTTTGGACAATACCGCCCTTCTAACATTTCTGGTCTTTTTAGGGGGCAATAAGAAGTTGAAGTTGCACTGGAAATATGTTGGAACAGGTCCATATCACACTAAACCAAATGAAAGAGTAAATAACTTGTCACACATGATAATATGTACCTTACCAGAAAAAGAAAAAAAAAAGAGTAGATTAGATGTGCCTTATAGCTTTTCACTCTCCTCTTCCATTCCGATATGCGATGCGTCTAAGGTGACATGTGTACCCCTTCTTCAGAAGCTTGCCAGTCTAGAAGTTTGTCAGTCCTGTTTGACCTGCGCTCATCAACCCGCCCTCTGTCATGGGTATCACATTCACCCCCTTGGGACTCAGCGTTCTCGCTGAGGTTTGCCCCACCATGGTACTGAGGGAGATTTGGCTCTGATAACATATTTGTCACGACCTAAGCCCATGGCATGTATTGTCCGCTTTGGGCCCTAGGCCTGCACAGATTTGTCTTTCTGCTTACACCACCTCGAGTCCTAAAAGCGCGCGTATCATGTGAATTGTGCCATGTGAACTTGGCAGTCTAGAAGCCTGCCAGTCCTGTTTGACCTGCCGTCATCAACCCGCCCTTCGTCATGGGTATCACATTCACCCCCCTTGGGACTCAGCGGTCTCGCTGAGGTTTGCCCCACTATGGTACTGAGGGAGATTTGGCTCTGATAACATATTTGTCACGACCTAAGCCCATGGCATGTATTGTCCGCTTTGGGCCTAGGTCCGCACAAATTTGTCTTTCTGGCTACACCTTCTTGAGTCCTAAAAGCGCGCGTACCATGTGAACTTGTGTCATGCTTTATATAGCTCTTCACTCTCCTCTCCCATCCCGATGTAGGATTCGCCTAAGGTGATATGTGCATCCCTTCTTCATAAACTTGCCAGTCTAGAAGCCTGTCAGTCCTGCTTGATCCGCTTCCATCAGTCCGCCCTCCGACATGAACATCATAACAAAGGAACTAGTTATGGTCGTACTGAGAGTGTACAATCTAGGTGCAGCTATGTTCGTTAACTAAGTTTATTAAATTGTCAAAATTTATACTACTTAATTTTCACTTGGCAATAGTAATTAATATGTTGGTGGAAATATCGAATATTAAAAATATTTTTCCGATAAGACACACCTGTCTACTTGCCTATTGGGTAACACAAGCTGTGAAAGGGTGACTTGGCAAAGAGGTGAAGATTTGGTCAAAATTAGGAAGCATGAAACATCATGTGTTTTAGACACTTGGCCTATTTTTATTGACATGTCTGCCGGCATGCTTATTGCCTTTGATTACTCCTATTATTATTGTTGTCTGTAATTGTCAATTAATTACTCGTAATACCCTATAATTTTTTAAAAATAACTTATGCATACAGTTTTATCTTTCCATATTTTCTCATCGATGATTGCAACTTACTCTTTAACCGTATAATAATGCTATGAATAACCTATGGTTGAATACTGATAATTGTTATAAATAGAATTCTATTTATAGTGAATGTCAATATTTAGAGAGATTGTAGGGTTCATTGCTTGGTGGCTAAGTCACCCTCTCCCTATAAATAGAGGGTTCTATTCCATTGTAAATCATCCCAAATCAATAAGAATTCTCTCTCTGCTTTTCTCTGCAATACTATTCTTCTTCTTTTATTGTTTTATGACAATAATATTATAATCCATATAGTAATGCTATAAATGACCTTTGTTGAATACTGGTAATAATATAATTCATATAGTAATGCTATAAATGACCTATTACTGACTATGGATAATAATATCAGCAAACCCGGTAATAATAATAATAATAATAATAATAATAATAATAATAATAATAATAATAATAATAATAATAATAATAATAATAATAATCAGCAAACGAATGTTCTCTTGTGCGTCCAAACATGCATTCTCAAATTAACTTGAAGAAATAAATATGCATAATCTTCTATATTTCACTCACTTACAAAAGAAGAACATCTATAAAGAGTTATAAAACTGAGGGGAACATCTCAAAATATTTGATAATTACTAATAACATTACACTATCCTATTTATCTAGTTTCAAAAATTCAACTTTTATTATGACATTTTTCTCGGTCAGGCACGTCCCTTTTTTATATTTAAAAATAATTGAATTTAATTTTTTACTTTACCTTTAATGGCATAATTTTATAATCACACAAATGTCATATCATACTTAAAACTACAAATTTCGAAAGTTTTTCTTTCTTACTTAAAACTCTACGTATAATCAAATAAATTCAAGTAAAATAAAACTGAGGGAGTATTAATCACTAATAAGTTTCTTTCAAAATAATTAATACATTAATATAGGGAGAAATTCAAAAATAGCCAGATTTACAAGTGGTCATTCAAAAATAGCCACAGTTTCAAAAGTAATCGATATTTAGCCACTCATGTAATAATAAATCTGAACGAAAACACTGTTCAAAATCCGGAAAAATACTCCAGTATAATATACTTGTCACGCCCCAAACCTGGGTCTGGACGTAACACGGCACTCGGTGCCTGACTACATGTGACCGAGCGAACCAACTGGCTGGCTGAATCAACATGTGATATCATAATATACTGAATGCGGAAGATAAACTAACACATGCCGGTATATGAAACTCTGGATGATATAAATCAAAGTGCGGAAATACTAATACAATTCTGAAACATCTTTGTAGCCAACATAGATTAATATGAAAAGCCTGTGACTCTATCTAATTGTTACTCTAGTATATGAAGCCTCTAATGAAATACTGAAAACACTAACTGTCTGAAAATACTAAAGACTGTAAGGTGATGATAATGCCCCGAAAGAACTAGGGATCACCAAATAGCTGGTACGAGAATCCTAGCGCTCTGAATCGTCAACCTGTAAATCATTACCTGCATCGCGAGATGCAGGCCCCGGGCAAAAGGGACGTCAGTACATTTGAATTGCACTGATATATAAAGCAACTGAAAGAAAGAATTATAAATGCTGAAACTGAAACTAAGCTGATAACTGAGAATTGATAATTGGTACTGAAATGATAACTATTGAAACAGAAACTGAAACGATAGCTGATAACTAAAATGATAACTGATAACTGAGCTGAACAAAGGAAGTAAGGATATGAATACTCCCTCTTCTGAATGATGAACAACCTGTTTATCTTAATAAGCTACGGCCTCGGGCCCAATATATATGTGCACAAGCTACGGCCTCAGGCCCAATTATACGTATACATAACTACGGACTCAGGCCCAAAAATGCATAAAGCATAAACTACGGCCTCAGGCCCAAACATGAATAAAGCATAAACTACGGCCTCAGGCCCAAGTATGCATAAAACATATAAACTATGGCCTCAGGCCCAAATACAGGTGTTCAACATTCAGGAACTGAGAATCAAACTGCAATACATGATAGTGAAATACTGAATCACACTGAGTCACATGATACTAAAATACTGGATCATACTGAGTTACATAATACTAGAATACTGAATAGGACTAGACTGAGACATGTATTCTTGAACTGATTATGAATACTGAAACTTCAACTGTTTATGGCATACCAAGTAATCTATACTAAGACTCGGGGGCACCAAACCCAAGTCTATATTGAATACGCATTGAGCTCACAACGTTCAGAAGGAAAGTGGTGAATGAGGTATGAAGTTAAAGAATAGAAGTTCTGCAACTATTCAAGGAACTAGGCTTAACTATATTTCTGAGGCAATTAGTAACGTCGTAAAAGAAACGTAGTGTAGGGAGAATCATTAACATTCCCAAACATAGAGAGTTAGCCTCACATACCTTAACTTCCTGCTTTTGAGCATAATACAACGTTTGTCAACCCTTTCAATTTAAATTTAAATCAATACAAGTCAAAGGGATTCCATATTAGCAATAATTCTTATGTTTTGGTCACTTAAGCATCTTATCAAACACTTGGTGAAAATAAAGCTTCATAGTCCTTATTAATGGTGTCTCTACACCAGTCACCCATTCCCTTGTTCCTAGATAAATTCTAAAGTCTCAAATGGTTATAATCAACATTATTCTTTATCACCCATAAAGTAAACAACACCCTTAACCAATAATCAACAATCAACACCCCAAACCTACAATCGTTCATGCTTTTATATCAAACCCATCAACTCATATCTCATGAACTTGTAGTCTACAATCATTAATCCAACGCTATAATCAATTAGAGGGTGAAGGCATTACCTCTTTGAAGTTCAGTCCCCTTGAATTCGAGTTCTAGGGTTCCTTCTCTCAACAATGATGTCCTAATCGAATATCTGATGATATGGAGGGTTTAACCATGTTAATAAGATGTTGGAAAATTAAAATTAACTTAGAATCACCATTAGAACTTACCATGGGTGGTGGAGGGACCCTTAAGGAGTTAGGTTTTTTAGAGCTTTCCTTTCTAGAGCAAGTTTTTATGTTTTGGGGTTGTGGGGGACAAAATAGGGCTTAAAAATGACTCCCCAAGTCCGCCACCGCGC